CGAATTCTACCAGACATACAAAGAGAAGCTGATACTATTCCTTCTGAAACTATTCCAAACAATACAAAAAGAGGGAATCCTTCCCAAATCATTTTATGAGACCAACATCAACCTGATACAAAAACATGGAAGACACTCAACAAGAAAAGGAAACTTCAGGCCAATATCCATGATGAACATAGATGCAAAAATCTTCAATAAAATACTGGCAAGCCAATTGCAACAGCGCATCAAAAAGCTTATCCACCATGATCAAGTAGGCTTCATCCCAGGGGTGCAAGGCTGGTTCAACATACGCAAGTCTATAAACGTAATTCACCACATAAACAGAACCAAAGACAAAAACCACATGATTATCTCAATTGATGCAGAGAAGGCCTTTGACAAAATTCAACAGCCTTTATGCTAAAAACCCTCAATAAACTAGGTATTGACAGAACGTATCTCAAAATAATAAAAGCTATTTACGACAAACCAACAGCCAATATCATACTGAATGGGCAAAAACTGGAAGCATTCCATTTGAAATCTAGCACTAGACAAGGATGCCTTCTCTCACCATTCCTATTCAATATAGTGCTGGAAGTTCTAGCCAGAGCAGTCAGGCAAGAAAAAGAAATAAACGGTATTCAAATAGGAAAGGAGGAAGTCAAATTGTCTCTATTTGCAGACGACATGATTGTATATTTAAAAGATCCCATCGTCTCAGCCCAAGATCTCCTGATACTGATAAGCAACTTCAGCAGAGTCTCAGGATACGAAATCAATGTGCAGAAATCACAAGCATTCCTATACACCAATAACAGACTTAAAGAGAGCCAAATCAAGAATGAACTGCCATTCACAATTGCTACAAAGAGAATAAAATACCTAGGAATACAACTAACAAGGAACCTAAAGGACCTCTTCAAGGAGAACTACAAGCGACTGCTCAACGAAATAAGAGAAGACAGAAACAAATGGAGAAACGTTCCATGTTCATGGTTAGGAAGAATCAATATCGTGAAAATGGCCATACTGCCCAAAGTAATTTACAGATTCAACACTATCCCCATCAAGCTACCAATGACCTTCTTCAAAGAACTGGAAAAACCACCTTAAACTTCATATGGAACCAAAAGAGAGCCCGCATAGCCAAGTCAATTCTAACCAAAAAGAGCAAAACGGGAGGCATCACACTACCGGACTTCAAACTATACTACAAGGCTACAGTAATCAAAACAGCATGTTACTGGTACCAAAACAGAGCTATAGACCAGTGGAACAGAAAAGAGGCCTCGGAGGCAATACAACGTATCTACAACCACCCGATCTTTGACAAACCTGACAAAAACAAGCAGTGGGGAAAGGATTCCCTGTTTAATAAATGGTGTTGGGAAAACTGGCTAGCCATGTGCAGAAAGCAGAAACTGGATTCCTTCCTGACACCTTACACTAAAATTAACTCCGGATGGATTAAAGACTTAAACATAAGACCTAACACCATAAAAACCCTAGAAGAAAATCTAGGCAAAACCATCCAGGACATAGGCGTAGGCAAGGACTTCATGACCAAAACACCAAAAGCATTGGCAACAAAAGCCAAAATAGACAAATGGGACCTAATCAAACTCCACAGTTTCTGCACGGCAAAAGAAGCAGTCATTAGAGTGAATTGGCAACCAACAGAATGGGAAAAAAATTTTGCAGTCTACCCATATGACAAAGGGCTGATATCCAGAATTTACAAAAAACTAAAACAGATTTACAAGAAGAAAACAAACAAGCCCATTCAAAAGTGGGTGAAGGATATGAACAGACACTTTACAAAAGAAGACATACATGAGGCCAACAAACATAGGAAAAAATGCTCATCATCACTGGTCATTAGAGAAATGCAAATCAAAACTACTTTGAGATACCATCTCACGCTAGTTCAAATGGCAATCATTAAAAAATCTAGAGACAACACATGCTGGAGAGGATGTAGAGAAATAGGAACACTTTTACACTGTTGGTGGGAGTGTAAATTAGTTCAACCATTGTGGATGACAGTGTGGCGATTCCTTAAGGACCTAGAAATAGAAATTCCATTTGAACCAGCAATCCTATTACTGGGTATATATCCAAAGGATTATAAATCGTTCTACTATAAGGACACATGCACACGAATGTTCATTGCAGCACTGTTTACAATAGCAAAGACCTGGAACCAACGCAAATGCCCATCGATGATAGACTGGACAGGGAAAATACACACCATGGAATATTATGCAGCCATCAAAAACAATGAGTTCGTGTCCTTTGTAGGGACATGGATGAACCTGGAAACCATCGTTCTCAGCAAACTGACACAAGAGCAGAAAATCAGACACTGCATGTTCTCACTCATAGGTGGGCGTTGAACAATGAGAACACATAGACACAGGGAGGGGAGCACTACACACTGGGATCTGTTGGGGGGAAATAGGGGAGGGACAGTGGTGAGTGGGGAGTTGGGGAAAGATAGCATGGGGAGAAATGCCAGATATAGGTGACAAGGAGGAAGGCAGCAAATCACACTGCCACGTGTGTACCTATGCAACAATCTTGCATGTTCTTCAAATGTACGCCAAAACCTAAAATGCAATAAATAAATAAATTAATTAAAATTAAAAAAAAGAAACAGGATGAAGGTCAGAGTGATCTGATACTTACTAGTTTGTTTGTTTTTTGAGGTGTCTTTAACTGAAAATAGTCAGTATCCCAGAAGCACATTTTGGAGGTAGTATATTTTACTACCCTTTAGCAACAAGGTTAGGTAAAGTAGATATGCATGTACGCATTCCTGTAAACAAGTTACTTGATAGGTAGGCGTGCACACAGCTATCTTTTGATCAGGCTGTCTCCTTATGTCTCCTTGAGGGCAAAAGATGTGTGGTGAGGTAAAATGACAGATCTGATATTTGCTTTAAATTGCTCAAACATTAAAGCAGTAGAGAAAACAAGACTTGTCAATATTGATGATTTTTGAACATAGTTAATATGGAAGTCATGTACTTAGAAGCTCTTGCAAATTTTATAATAGTTTTCTTAACACCCTTGTATTTTTAGAATCATACACCAAAATCAGATTATCAAAGGTGTTTGACATGGTGGATGGTGGGGCTGTGTGTGGGGTGTCTGATGTATGGCTGGGCATCTCTTCTGGAAAGCAGTTTGTCTAGATGTGCCAGGAGACATATGGATGTCACTGACATCTGACCCAGTGATTCCTCTCATGGGAATCTGTACTGAGGAAATTATTGTGAATACCAAGAGCTTTGTACAAAGTGATTTATTTTAGATTTTGAAATTTGCAAATAATCCAAATGTGCAACAATAGAAGAATGGTGGGGTATCACATGATAAAATATTTTGCAACCCTTATAAATAAAGAAGCATTTAGTTTTTACATACCACTGGAAGATACCTATAACAATGTTAATTGGGAAACAAAAGTGGATAAAATTGTGCTTACATACATCTATGTAAATAGCGGACATCTATGAAAAGAGTATGCATAAAAAAAGGCTGGAAGAAATGTAACAATGTCATCATTAGTTCTAATTGAATGATGACCTTCTACTGTAAAGGCATGCAGCACTATGTACAGTAGCAAAGACTTGGAACCAACCCAAATGCCCATCAACAATAGACTGGATGAAGAAAATATGGAATACCATGCAGCCGTGAAAAGGATGAGTTCATGCCCTTTGCAGGGACATGGATGAAGCTGGAAGCCCTCATCCTCAGCAAACTGACTCAAAAACAGAAAGCCAAATACCGCATGCTCCCAGTCATAAGTGGGAGTTGAACAATGAGAACACAGGGACACAGGGAGGGGAACATCACACACCTGGGCCTGTCCCGGAGTGGGTGGAAAGGAGAGGGAGAGCATTAGGACAAATAGCTAATGCATGTGGGGCTTAAAACCTAGATGATGCATTGATAGGTGCAGCAAACCATCAGGGCACACGTAAACCTATGTAACAAACCTGCACATTCAGCACATGTATCCCAGAACATAAAGTAAAATAAAATAAAATAAAATAACCAAATGTCTTCATTAGTTCTGATTGAATAACAGACTCACAGTGAATTCTTTTTTTTTTTTTTTATTTGTCTTTGTTTTCCAGATGTATTTTTACCATGAACGTGAATTAATTTTTTCCCTATGTAGCTTTATTTTTTTAGTTTTATAGAGGTATGCTTAACATATCATAAAATTCACACATTTTAAGAGTACAGGCTGATGTGTTACTGGAAGTATATACAGTTCTGCCACTACCACCAGTCAGATTTCAAAACACTGTGACTCTGTGAACTACCTCAGACATATTTTCAAGTAGACTTTATTTTTAGAGCGGTTTTAGATTTACAGAAAATTTGAGAAAATAAATACAGATAATTCCTATATATCCTGCACCCAGCTTCCCCTATTACTAACATTTTCTATTAGTATGTTACATTTGTTAAAATTAACAAACCAATATTGATACAGTATGGTCAGGTATCAATTGTTATCGAAGTCCATGATTTATTTAGATGTTCGTAGTTTTTAATCTATTGTTCTTTTTTCTGCCCCAGGAATCCATCCAGGAGATGACATTATGTTTAGTAGTCATGTCCATAAATTAGTTTTTAGGGGAAAGAAAAGTAAAATAAACCTTATTTTTAAATCCTCCAAATATATTAGCTATCCAGTGTTCCCTTGGTTTCCTTGTTGTGTTGACTTGTTACTTGTTGACAAAGACATGTCTTAAATTGATTCTGTTCCTTTTTGCATGTCATGTGGTACCTTACAAATTTACTAAGTAAAAGTCAGCTAATTTAGTGAATGGTCTTCAGTATCTGGGTGAAGCAGAAGGGAGCGGGGAAAGGAAAAGGAAGAGGAAGAAAGCCCTTGCCTACACATAATTTAAAACCTTAGAGCTTGAAAAATCTTTGATTTCTGTTGCAATTTCATGTAATGGAATTCTTTTGACTTTTGTGTTTCTTAGGTTGGAGATTGCAACCCTGAATCGAGCAGACGCAGATCTAGAGGCTTGTCGAACACAAATCAGCAAGGACATCATTGCCCTTCTACTGAAAAATCTCACCAGCAGCGGCCACCTCTCACCCCAAGTAGAGAGAAAAATGAGTGCTGTTTTCAAAAAGCAGTTTCTGTTGCTGGAAAATGAAATACAAGAGGAGTACGATCGGAAGATGGTGGCATTGACAGCTGAATGCGACCTGGAATCAAGAAAGACGATGGAAAACCAGTACCAGAGAGAGATGATGGCAATGGAGGAAGCAGAAGAGTTGCTGAAACGTGCTAGTGAGAGGGTAAGGCAGGTCTGAAGGGAAGGTGTTCACTTGCCTCTTCCCTTTCTCTCAGGGATTTGTCATTTATCCATCTACCCGCTCATTTGTCTATTTGCCTCCTCCATCCATCTGTGCATCACCCATCCAACCATCCACCCATTCATCTATCTATCCTTCCATTCATTCATCCAACCATTCCCACCATCCATCCATCATCATCTATCCATCCACCCATCTACACACTCATCCATCTACCCACTCATCCATTCATCTGTGCACCTATCCATCCACCCACTCATCTACCCATCTATCTACACATCCATCTGTTCATCCATTCATCCCCCTACTCATTTATCTATTCACCCTCCCATCCATGCCACCCATCACCCATCCAACCATCCATCTACCATCCACTCATGCTCCATCCAGCCGTCTACCCATCCACTCATCCATTTACCCATTCACCTATGCATCCATCCATCTACCCACCCACCTATCTGCCCATCATCACCCATGCATCGATCCAGAATTCATTTAGCAAAAATGTGTTGATTACTTATTGTCTCTCAGGCACTGGGCTAGCAGTGAAGGTATAGGGGACAATGAGACATGGTTCTTCCGTTGAAGAAGTTCATAGTCTTACAAAAAATCTATACCCATAAAAAATGAGACATTATCGAGTCATGTTATAATAGTGACATGTTCACAGTGCTGTGGAATTCATGGGGAAAGAAAGACTTCATTCATAGCAGAACACAACCTTAGAGGGCATGGTCCACAGAAAGTTGCGACGTCAGAGTGCATGTGTCCCCCTCTGGTCTATAGCCTGTTAGGTTACAGTTCTCTCCAGCACAAGCTCTGGAGTCAGAAAAACCCGGACTCACAGTCTAGCACATTCCAGCTCTGCTCCTGAAGGCCTTAACTAGCCTCTGCAAGTCTAATGGCAGCCACCTCTCAGGGTGGGTGGGGGAAGCAGTGTAGGAAAGGCAGCTGCCCAGTGCACATGGGCTGCAGAAGGTTCTCAGCACACAGTGACCGGCTGGAGGTCTCATCGCTCAGTTGGCCTTCCCAGGGCTGGCCTAGATGGCTCAGAAATCAGCTCTTGTTTTTCCAAAAATTGTGTCAGTTGTTGCCTTGAAAGAACTGGAGTTTTTCCTGAATGTACCAAATCAAACCTGATTTCTGTCTTCCTCTGTGAAAGAGACGGCTTATTCAGTTCATGTGACCTGAGCCTGCCTATCCTGTTCTGAACATTTACTACCCTAGGGAGGGCTTCCGACTACCTAAGAACAAGCTTCTGAACTCAGCTTCCCTTCCACAGACTGTGGCCATCCACCGATGCCCCTGGGAGTAAGTGAGCAGCTCTCTTGTTGACAGCTCGTGACTCACAGATGGTCATCTGTGGTCAGACGTGGGCTGAGCAGTCAAGAAAAGGGGCAAGGTCCTCACTGTCCTGCCGGCACCTGCTCCCTTGCTCCTGGGGCCTCCCTTGCCTTCAGACCATGCCATTTTAGGGTGTGGCTTGTGTACTGTTCGGCTCAGCTGTCCTAGTTTCCTATGGCTGCCATAAAAAATTACCACCAATTTGGTGGCTTAAAACAACAGAAATGTGTTCTGTTATGTAATAGTTCTGGAGGCGAGAAGTCCAAAGTCTCCTTGTCAGCAGGATCCTTCCATGTTTGACTCAGCTTCTGGTGGCTCCAGGTGTCCCTTGGTTGAAGCTGCATCACTGGAATCTCAGCTCTGCCTTCCTGTGGCCTTTTCCCTGGTAACTCTCTCATCTCCTGTCTCTTATAAGGCCATTGGTCATTGAATTTAGGTCCCACCTAAATAATCCAGAACGATCTCATAATATCTTGAATTAATTTCATGTGCAAAGACCTTTATTCAAAATAAGGTCTTGGGGTTAGGATCTAGACATACCTTTCTGGAGGGCTGGGGGTGGGGGTGTCACCATTCAGCCCACTGCAACCTCCCTGACCAACCCTGCCCTCTGTTACCTCCTCTATGACTGTGTTGGTCAACATCACATATCCATGAGCCAGGCCCTTAGGAAGAATGCATTGAATGCACTGTTCAGTGATTCAGCTCCTAAACGATCCCATTATCTCTCTTTTGATGCTTTCCTAAATCTGTTACAATTTTTTTTGTTGTTTTTTTTTTGAAACAGAGTCTCACTCTGTCACCCAGGCTGGAGTGCAGTGGCACAATCTTGGCTCACTATAACCTCCACTTCCTGGGTTCAAGTGAATCTCATGCCTCAGCCTCCTGAGGAGCTGGGATTATAGGCACTGCCACCAAGCCTGGCTAATTTTTGTATTTTTAATAGAGACCGGGTTTCACCATGTTGGCCACGATGGTCTCGAACTCCTGACCTCAGGTGATCTGCCCACCTCGGCCTCCCAAAGTGTTGGGATTACAGGCATGAGCCACCACGCCTGGCCAATTTTTTTTTTTTAACCTTTAAAAATAATACATGCTCAACAATAGAGGCTTGGACAGTAGTTTAAGGCAACAGTCAGCAAACAAGGACCCATAAGCCCAATCTAGCCCAGCTTGTTTTTGTGTGGCCCACAAGTTGGGAATGTTTTTTGCATTTTTAAAGCATTTTAAAAATCAAACAAATGTAAGAATATGTGACAGAGACCTCAGATGGCAAATTCTAAAATATGGGCCTTTACAGAAAGGCTGATTTCAGATCCAAAGCTGAAAAAGAAAAAGCCCTGAAAAAATAAAAATAAAAAGGGAAGCCCATCCCACCACTTGATGGCAGAGGATCACTCATTCGGCCCATTACTGAGTTCCTACTGTATCCCAATCCTGGAGCTGTAGAGACGGCTTAGGTGGCCTTCACACCTGCCCTCAGGTTCCAACATACATTTTAGCCTTTTGCTTTATCTATCTATTTTTACACAGTAAGGATTATGCAGTTTGTATAATTGTACACATTTCTCATTTTCATGTTATACTACAGCATACACATTTGCTGATTTTATTAAATACTTAAAAACTACACCATGTAACAGTAACAGCATGCCGGGCGCGGTGGCTCATGCCTGTAATCCCAGCACTTTGGGAGGCCAAGGCGGGTGGATCACGAGGTCAAGAGATCGAGACCATCCTGGTCAACATGGTGAAACCTCGTCTCTACTAAAACTACAAAAAATTATCTGGGCATGGTGGCACGTGCCTGTAATCCCAGCTACTCAGGAGGCTGAGGCAGGAGAATTGCCTGAACCCAGGAGGCGGAGGTTGCGGTGAGCCGAGATAGCGCCATAGCACTCCAGCCTGGGTAACAAGAGTGAAACTCCGTCTCAAAAAAAAAAAAAAAAAAAACAGTAACAGCTCGTTCTTCCTCAGCATGCACGCTGTGCCTGCCACCGTTCTAAGCACATCCTGTTGACCGTCTTCTCAGTGTTCACAACTCAGTGAGGTAGGGACTGAGAGGATCTCACTTTGGCAGGTGAGGAAACTGAGATTGGGAAGGTTCACCTGCCTGAGGGCGGTCAGCCTCCCGTCCAGCAGCGGGAGTTGCACCCCTAACCACCGTGTACACTGCCCGCTCCTGCAGTGGAGGTTACATCCCTCTGCTGGGCGCCCCACGTGAACCCATCCTGTGGGCATCTAGAATGTTTCCAGTGCCTCTGATACCAAAAGACTGCCTGGGGCAGTGCTTTTCGACGCGGAGAGCGTGAGGACAGGTTGCTGGGACGTGCCCTGCTTCCATCTGTCATGCGGTTTCTCTCCTCCTCGGGGCTTCCTGACCCTACTCTGTCCTGTCTTTTCTGCAACCTCTCTCCCACCCACACCACCTCGCCCGCCAGCATGCTGTGGGCAGGCACCATCACTGTAGATTTCCTAGGTCACCATGTTCAAAGACCAGCAGCCACCTTATTTGAACCAGTCTTTCCAGAAATAGTATGTGAGCTGCAGAAGTTAATAGAACTGGTTTCCTTCCAGTTCGTGCAAGTGATTCCATCTCACAAAACCACAGCTACTTTATAATTATCTAACGTGTTGTAGTCATCTTTAAATAAAATACATAAAAATATTGTGGGCGTCTTACTCCACCAAGAATTAGTTTTAAAAAAGAAAAGCAAAAGGAGCAGTCTCGGTTTTCCTGAGTCAGGTTTAGTGCAGTCCAGTCGCCCCTCCATTCCCATGAAGCACTGCTTCCAGGGACCCTCCCCACCGTCCCACCCCCACGGATACCAAAATCCACAAATTCTCAAGTGTCTCTTATAAAATGGCGTCATATTTGCACATAACCCACACATATGCTCCTGTATACTATAAATCATCTCTATCACTTATAATACCTGATATGATATAAGTTACATAGTTATAGTTTATATAAATAGTTGACATAAATGCTCTATAAACAATAGTACTGTGTTGTGTAGGGAGTAACAACAAAAGTCTGTGTATGTTCAATGCACACATAAATTTTTGACCTGCAGGTGGTTGTGTCCGTGGATGGGAAACGCACGGATACAGAGAGCTGACTGTGATCAGTTAGAGCTGAAATCTGTTCACGTGATGATATTTAAATGCCTATATAATGCCTTATAGTTTTCAAAGCATTTCTCCATTGAGAAGCCCTGGGGAGGGAACTGGGGGATACAGGCACAGAGGCAGGTTGCTTGTGTTTATTTCCTCGCTCCTTCCCTCCAGTGGGCACACTGTCCAGTCACCCTGGGCGTCCTTTTCCCATCCTTAAGACAGGGAGAATCATGACGCCTGAGGTCGTAGAGGGCTGTTTGGAGAATAAGTAAGTTAATTCTCATATACTTCTTCAGCCATCGCTCTGCGCAGAATCAACCCTGGACGAGTGTTTACTCGTGTAATTTTTATTTTTATTTTTTTTGAGATGGAGTCTCGCTCTGTCATCACCCAGGCTGGAGTGCAGTGGCACAATGTCGGCTCACTGCAACCTCTGCCTCCTGGTTTCAAACGATTCTCCTGCCTCAGCCTCTGGAGTGGCTGGGATTACAGGTGGGCAGCACCATGCCCGGCTAATTTTTGTATTTTTAGTAGAGATGGGGTTTCACCATATTGGTCAGGCTGGTCTCAAACTCCTGACCTTATGATCCGCCCACCTCAGCCTCCCAAAGTGCTGGGATTACAGGCGTGAGCCACTGCACCCGGCAACTGAGTGTAATTTTTAAAGATACCCATGGCGTAGAACAGTGAATGTGAACTCTTTCTGCTTGAAGGTGGGCAAACCAAATCCTGAAGGGGAAGTGACTGGCAACCCAGCTTCCTGCAGCCAGTTGAGAGCTGGGTCCTTCCTCTGGGTTTTCTCTTCTATACCAGGCCCTCCTGCTGCTTTTCAGCCACAGAAAGAGGAGGCCCAGCAGATGACTTGCGCTGGGCTGCCTGAGGCCTTCTAACCCCTGTGTGAGTCTTTGTCTTAAAGGAAGAGACTCCTTCGGCACAAGAATTCTGACATTTTCACCGTTTTTGATGGATTTATTTTCATAAAACATTTTTATGATTTGCCTGTCTTGCTAAATCGGGTATGGGGAGTGTGCCAGCACAGTCAGAACTTTCGAGCGGGATTTCACTTTGCGGTGCTGTGGAGTCAACGTTATGCATAGCGGCAGCTCCCGCCAGCCCGCTGCAGGCCCAGCTTCTCACACTGGCACCTTTGTACCCTCCCTTAAGGTGCACGCCCCCCACTCCCTCCATGGGACAGTGGCTTTTCTAGGTGTTGGAAGGCACAGTATACATGTGGCTTACCTCCCTGAAGTCTGTTTTATTGAGAAGTCCGATAAGGGGTCGGGGGTGAGCAATTATTACTTTCACATTCCTTTATAATGCACATTTGTGGTCAGACTCGGCGGCTCACGCCTGTAATCCCAGCACTTTGGGAGGCCGAAGCAGGTGGATCACTTGAGGTCAGGTGTTTGAGACCAGCCTGGCCAACATGGCAAAATCCCATCTCTACTAAAAACACAAAAATTAGCTGGACACGGTGGCAGACACCTGTAATTGCAGCTACTCAGGAGGCTGAGTCAGAAGAATCACTTGAACCCGGGTGGGGGTGGAGGTTGCAGTGAGCCAAAATCATGCCACTTCACTCCAGCCTGGGCAAAAGAGTGAGACTCCATCTCAAACAACAAAAAGAAAAGCACATTTGTTGACAATATTTAAAATATTAACTCTTATATAAGGAGATTTCCAGCTAAAAGATGTGAAGATTGAGCCATGTTGAGTCCGTCTTCCTGCGGAGCCCTCTGGTGGACAGAATGGTGGCTGCCCCCACAGGCAGGGCTGCTGTTTGCACTTTGCCCCAGTCCCCAGTACTCCCTAGTGCCTCTCCCACCAGGCAGCCCCAGTTGTTTGAAAACATGACCTCCCCTGCATTAGGGCTTATTGTTCTCATCTACGCCTTAGGAGGCTGAACTAGGTCAGGGGTCAAAATCGTTTCTGCAAGTCTCTGAACTCCCTTTAGAAGTGGGCCTGGAAGTCCTGTCCACATGTTATTACAGAGAGTGTTTCACTAGGGCACAAACACATCAGTGCCTCATACTTTATTCTTCAGCAAAGATAGAATTCTAAAAAAGGCCAAAATATTTTATTTTAGGATTTGTGTGTGTGTGCTTTTCGTCTTGTCTGTGAGAAGCTAAATGGAAATTACCCGACATTTCATTTCTGTAAATTAAAATAAATTGAGGTTTTGGACTTGTCAAATTCCATACTGTCAAAAAAAGAAGATCACTTTGATGGATGAGCCGACATAACTGGGCACCAGCTAGTCATTCGTAGCAGAATGCCCCTGCGGTGCCCGGACACAGGGTCCTGACACCCTCCTGGTTGTTGGTGAGTCGCACCCTTTGATTTAGATCAAGTCAGCTGTGAATACCATTTCTCTGTGATAGAGTGACTCATGTTGAATCCAATCCTTTTATAAATCAGCTTTTTTAAAAGACCGAACTGTTATTTGGTGAGCAAGGCAAACTGTTAGTATAGGCATGGATCCTGATAGAGTTGCCAAGAGGATGCACGTGGAAGGCTTTGACTTCCAGCCTGTGGCTGCTGCTGTCATCCCCCAGGCTTCGCCAGAGCACCCAGAGGGCAGGGGCTGCCCAGTGTTGCCCCTTGGACTTCCTTGGAGGGCTCTAAATGCTTCTCTTTCTGGCCCAGATTCTGAACAAACAATAAGTAAACGGGGCTGGAAAGACAGAGAAAGCTAGAAATGAACGTATCACCTTTATGAACTTCCGTGAATAATTGGAAGTGGAGGTGAGCAGGTCTGTGACTTGGGAAACTGGGGAGCTGGTGATGCCATTTACTGAAATCAGAGAGTTCCGGTGGTGATACAGCATTCTGACCTTGTTTAGCCTGAAGGAGCTCTTGCCCTCTCTCTGCACCAGAGCCCCTTCTGCCTTTTCTGGGCTTCTGCTCAGCCCAGCCATGGCATGATGCTACACCTGCCTGCTCCCCAAGGCCAGGCATCTGTTGTCCTTTTGGGATGTCTGTACCCATGCCTCCTGCACATGTGAGCCTTCCCTGCCTTTGCTTCACCAACAGGCTCCACTGTCATTGCCTGTGTGACTTCAGAGCTTGGGACCCAGACACCTGCTTTCAACTCCTTTCCTCCCCTGCTGAGCATGGGTGAGAATTTGGAAAAGCTCTTACCGTATGTGAGCTTCTGTTTCTTCTCCTGTAAAGTGGAGTGTATCAGTTTTCTATCCTGCCTAACCAACCGCACGCATTTAGTGACATTGCCTCAGCGTCCTTGGTCAGGAGTCTGGGCACAGTTTCCCTGTGACCTGTGCTCAGGATGTTGCAGGCTAGCGATCAAAGTCTCAGCTGGGCTGCGTTCTCCTCTGGAGCTTGGGGTCCTGGTCCAAGCTCATTCAAGCTGTTTGCAAAATTCACTTCTTTGTGGGTACAGGACTGATGCCCTTAGCTCCTAGAAGTTTCCCTTGTGCATAGACAGTTTAAGCATGGGTGTTTGGTTCTTCAAAGCCAGCAGGAGAGGGTCTCTCTGTTTAGGAAGGGGCCAGTGCTTCTTTTAAGGAATCTCACCTGATCAAGTCAGGCCCATCCAGGATAGTCTTCCTTTTAATTAATTCGAAGTCAACTGATTAGTGAGTGACCTTAATTACATCATCAAGATGCCTTCAGCTTTGCCATATAATGTAAACTAATCACAGGAGTGTCTTAATCAGAAGTCCCATGCTCCCCTTTTATTCAAGGGGAGGGAATTTATGTGGCATGTATACTGGGGGCTGGGAATCAGGGACCATTCTAGAATCCTACCTACCCATGTGAGGTGAAGAACGACTCCCTCTGAGGGCATGAGTCTTACTGAGATATTTAGGGGGAGGCTGTACAAAAATGCATCAGGAGCTCAGCAGAGGTGAGCTGCCTTTCTTTCTGCATGCAGGACCTCATAATACGCAGGCATCCAAGCAGCCATTTCTTAACACCTCTTTTGCTTCTCTTTACCCAAAGGATCTCCACTTGGGCCTGATTGCTGGTATTTCTCTCTTCAGCGAAGTTGAGAATGAAAGATAGGGGAAATAACCTTGTGAGTTTAACAGCATCATCCATTGATAGTTACGAGATTTCCGTTATGTGGTTCTTGATTTCTGTTTTTAGCAGGCTATTTTCTTTTTTTCTTTCTTTTTTTTTTTTAGTTGGAGTCTTGCTCTGTCACCCAGGCTGGAGTGCAGTGGCATGATCTCGGGTCACTGCAACCTCTGCCTCCCAGGCTCAAGCGATTCTCCTGCCTCAGCCTCCTGAGTAACTGGGATTACAGGCGGGCACAACTACGCCCAGCTAATTTTGGTATTTTTAGTAGAGATAGGGTTTCACCATGTTGGTCAGACTGGTCTCAAACTCCTGACCTCAGGTGATCCACCCGCCTTGGCCTCCCGAAGTGCTGGGATTACAGGCGTGAGCCATCATGCCCAGCCTGCAGGCTATTCTCTAACAGTTTGATTTGCAAATTTCCACCCCTGTGAATATTATGCTTTGAGATTATTCTAGAAAACATTTAGATAACAGGGGAGGACAGTTTGGAACAGCATATTACAGGGTTTAGTAACCTCACCATTGTCACCTTGGGACTCTGTGTATGTCTATGTGTCCACATTGTTTTTGCTGTGTGTGTATATGCTGCGTGTGCACATGGACTTGTGCCTTGTGTATGTGCATGTTCTGTGTGTGTGCATGTGTGGATGTTGCATGTGTGTACATTGCATGTGTGCACGTGCACACATAGGCGTGCACACACTGTATGTGCATGTGTGTATATTGTAATACATATATGCATGCACCTGTGTGTTCATGTACACATTGTGTGTGCATATGTGCCTGTACACATTACATTGCATACACATGTAGGTGCATGTTCAGTGTGTCTGTTTCTCATGCGCTGCCTCTCCTCTCTGCAGTCTGCTGTAGAATGCAGCAACCTTCTGCGGACCCTCCATGGCCTGGAACAGGAGCACTTACGGAAGTCTCTCGCTTTGCAACAAGAAGAAGACTTTGCCAAAGCTCACAGGCAGCTGGCTGTTTTCCAGAGAAACGAACTGCACAGTATCTTCTTTACCCAGATAAAAAGTGCTCTTTTCAAAGGGGAATTGAAGCCAGAGGTGGCTAAAATGCTGCTGCAAAATTATTCTAAAATACAGGTAATGCCTCAAATCAGCCTGGCTGTGATGGAAGAGTAATTTTTCTAAATTGTTTCGGTAAATGTCTCCTCTCTCAGTGTTCACTTCTGCCTCTCCTTTGGACTGTGCACTAGTGAACTTTCTCTTCCTTCTGTCTCTTGGCGTGTGGGTTTCTAGTAAGCAGGGCAAATGGTGGCTTGGAGTACAGGCCTTGAACTCAGGCTGATCGGGATTCAGATTTCAGTTCCACCACTGGTCTACTGCGTGAACTTGAGCAAGCTACCTTCTTTGAGCCTTTGTTTCCTCACCTGTAAGATGAGTGTAAAAGAATGCCCACACTCACCAGGTGTGATGAAAATTTGATGAGCTGACTCATGGAAAGTTAGTGCTTGGCATAACGTATGTTTAATGTGTATAGCAGTGGAAAATATAGGACAGGCCTGGTGGTTCCCGGTACTTTGGGAGGCCAAGAAGGGAGGATTGCTTGAGTCCAGGAGGTTGAGGCTGCAGTGAGCCATGATCGCACCACTGCGTTTCAGCCTGAGTGACAAAGCCAGACCCTGTCTCAAATAAATAAATAAACACACACACACGTATGTGTGCATGTGTCGATGTTTATGTGGGGTTTAGTATTTGCCTGGATATACTTGGATGGATTTGTGTATTTTTGCAAGTCAGTTTGAGTGTGAATGTTGTTAGTCCAGCAGAACAATTTCTCAGGCGGTAGTGAAAATCGTCCATCTGAAACTGTCAACATCACTGTGGAATTTCTTAGGAGGCATGCATGAGGTATTTTACATGCACAAGTGCGTGCACACACAGGCACACAGAGTGACATCACTGCTTTCAAGAATGCATTTTGTAGTTTGGCTTCAGCGCTGTCACTGGTGCTGATAGCTTGCTCTAGCTGATGGTAAGGGTGGTTGTGAACAAACTCTTATTTTACTTTACAGAATATTCTGTCTTGACTGTTAATAAAATGTTTGACAAATGCAAATGTCATTCTTTAGACAAGCTGCCTCTTCCGGATTATGAGCCAAGCCCTGTTTCTAAAACAGCAAAGGTACCTTTGGTTGGTGCTGGAGGTCTTGATGCATCATCTGGCGTACTCAAGTCTATGGGGGTTGATTTGTTCCTCAGTCTAGTAATGTGTTCACAGTCATGAGTGCATAGCTGTGGTTCTTCAGCAATGCTTTTTCTGATGTAGTGGACACCGCTATTTCAGTTCTATCTTTATAAGTGAAAATCATTCCAGAAAGTTGGCTTGCTGATTAATTTTCCCACCTTGAAATTCCCTACTTGCACTAGAAGGACAGATTCTACCCATAGCAGAATGAGCCATGTCCACCTAGGGTGAATCAGGGCTTACGAGCAGCCTCTGCTACTCCATTGCTAAGATAGTGGCAAAAGATGAACTGGAACACCCAGAGGAGGTGCAGGCCTGGGCAGCCATCCCTGCGTCTGTGAGCAGGTGCTAAGCATTCACCCTGTCACTGACAAAGACAAAGGCTGCCCCTGCCCATCCTCCGGTGACTTGCGGCCAGCACCAGGCTGAATGCATGAGGGCCGGGACATCAGGCTGTCCCAGGAGGAGACCAAGTCATCGTTACAAGCCTCCCACTCTCAGAAGGCACCCAGGACATAAAGAGAACGAGCTCCCCACTCCATTTAATCTAGGGTTTTCCCACTAAATCCTCAGTGAGCGTACATAAAGCATAAATTCTGTTGTATTCATAGCTCGGTACTCAGACATTATGACATTACTTAGATATTCACAGATCGTACTCTCATGCTGAGCAGCGTCTGAATCTCAATGCCAGAGCACTCAAGTTAAAAAGAATGCATGCTATCGTGAATGATATCATACCAAATGAAGTAACTTCACAGGTGATAACAGTACTACCACACAAGTTTTTTGGACCAGAGCTATGAGAGTATTTCAGGATGCCCATTCTGAATTTCCTTATGGGATGGGCTCCCATAAATCAACACATGTGGATCCCATTCCGTGGAGAACAGGAACATTGCCACAACCTTCCTACTGTATGGATTCTGGTGCCAGTGGCTCTTAGGGGGATGCTAGTGTGAAGCCACACCTGACTGACCACAGAGCTTTTTACCCAATGGATAGTGCTAATTCCCAAGTGTTGGGATGTGGAGCTGTTACAGTGGAAAGGAGAACGGCCATGCTGTCACGTGTTCCCCATTGAACAAAGCGTTGACTTTTTTGGTTATCCGTTGTATGGGCGATGTTTCCACAGATGGAGAAAAGACAGCCAAGCCAGTTCATGGGGTAGTTCTTCTGATGTTCCTGGTTAAAGCAGGGTTTTTAGAAGCAGCCTATTGTGATGTTAGAACACAGGTCCTGAAATTAGATTGCTGACTTCAAATCCCTGCTCAGCCATTTACCAGTTGTCTGATGTGGACTCAGTTTCCTCGTCTGTGAAATGGGAATAATAATACTGTCTCCCTAGGTTGAGTTAGATGAGCCAGGAAACACTCTTGGTCCAGTCTCAGGTCCAGAGAACGTACCTCACATTAGCTAGGTTATTACTCGCCCATGTTTGCGTGGGGTCTGTTCATTTTGTACCGAGGAAAAACCTTCTTGCTTTCTTTGTGCTCATCCTGGTCTTGTCTCCTCTGTGGTGGTGGGAGCCCCTTGGGGTTGGGCTGATGGCTAGCTTATCCCAGAACTTCAGCACCTTATCCTGGTGCTCAGCACTTGTGGGAACTCCACAGAGGGGAGAGGTGTGTGCATGGGTGAAGGATGAATGGCTGAGTGAAATTTATGTTCTGTAGGGCAGTAAAGTTGTTCTGATAACTCTTTACCATCAGGGTCTAGAATGCATTTTTCAAAGCCCTCATTTCTTATTTGTATGTAATTTTCCCATAGCCTTTGTTGCAGGCAGGGAGGTTAAAGGTGTTAATTCTCATGTTTCTTTTCTTGTGTATTTCTTATAAAAGGAAAAATCATATTTTAAACATCTAGAAAGATTATGCTGTGAATTTTAATTAGGTGTATTTTCTTGATTTTTTTTTTTATTGACAGGAGAATGTGGAAGAGTTAATGGACTTTTTCCAGGCTAATAAGAGGTATCACCTGAGTAAAAGATTTGGCCACAGGGAGTATCTGGTCCAGAACCTGCAGTCATCAGAGACCCGTGTGCAGGGCCTTCTGAGCACTGCTGCAGCCCAGGTGACCCACCTCATTCAGAAGCATGAGAGGTACCATTTACTACCATCCCAACAGTGCAAACTGTCTTAGTCTGTTTCCCGCTGCCGTAACAAAATACCACATATGGGATAATTTATAAATAGGAGAGATATATTTGGTTCATGGTTCTAGAGGCTGGGAAGTTCAAGATCTAGCGAGGGCCTTCTTCCTTCCTCATAACATGGTAGAAGGGCATCATGTGGGAGGAAGTGCATGTGTGAGAGAGAAAAAGGGGGCCAAACTCCTGTGATAACTAACAACAGAAATGGCATGAATCCATTCATGAGGGTGGAGCCCTCGTGACCTAATCATCTCGTAAAGGTCCCATCTCTTAATACTGTCACAATGGCAATTAAATGTCAAGTTTTGGAGGTGACATTCGCAGCATGGCACAAGTGAACTGCCTCACACAAACCTTCCTCACTGGAAACCTGCACTTCTGTTTATTCAGCGTGTGTGCTGGCTGTTCATCACTTATCATTTCTTTCTTTTTTCTTTCTTTCTTCCTTTTTTTTTTTTTTTGAGACAGAGTCTCACTCTGTTGCTCACACTGGAGTGCAATGGCATGATCTTGGCTCACTGCAACCTCCGCCTCCCAGGTTCAAGTAATTCTCTGCCTCAGCCTCCCAAGTAGCTGAGATTACAGGCGCCGACCACCACACCCAGCTAATTTTTGCATTTTTAGTAGAGATGGGGTTTCCCCATGTTCGCCAGGCTGGTCTTGAACTCCTGACCTCGCGATCTACCCTGCTCAGCCTCCCAAAGTGCTGGAATTATAGGTGTGAGCCACCATGCCTGACCACTTATTATTTCTTAAGAATTATCTTTTTGTAAAAATCCTTAGTGTTATAGAATTTTAAAAGCATATGCAATAGTCTAGACAAATGTATGAGCCCCTTCAGCAGGTGTTCACTCATGGCCAATTCTGATGTGGCTATACATCCCCACCCTGGATTATTTTGAAGCAGAATCCCAACAACGTGTTCTAGAGAAATCAGTGACGAGGCCCACATCAACCATGTGATGGAAGAGCCCACTTCTCTTTAAGATCTAGCACACTGCTGGCTCTTGCATTCACCTTTGACACTAAGAATAAATACAGAGATGCTTGTCTCGGATTCCAAGTGGTTTTCTAAGCAGCACCTGGGGTTCCATGTGGTCAGGTATATGGTGGTGTCACAGTTCTAAGTGCCATCATCTGCCTCTCTCCAGCCTTCCTTCTCAGCTATTCTTTGTGGTGACTTAATTGTAAACAACAAAATGTATCCTTTTCAGTTGTAGGAAGCTCTGAAATGAATAGGGACATGACTATAAAGTGGCTTTCTTATAATGATATGTTGTTTTACTGTAGTTCTGCTACTTAGGTAATCTTATTGGGACTTTGCCCCTCTCCTGCTCTGTTTAATGAGGATTCGGTGAGGTGCAAATTATGCAAACACTCCCCACCTAAAGATGCTAATGAATTTATCACTGCAATTTACTTGACATTCCTGATTTTGATTTGCACTCAAGTGAAAGAACCAAGTTTTTTGCCTTGAATTGAAGGGCCCACCAGCTGGTTGTGAGCAATCACCAGGGAAAGATGTTTTATCTCTTATTTTTAAATTCTATTTTAAAAGACCTCATTATATTTCTAAAGCATGCATCTACTACTGATTCCTTCACCTGTTCATTCCTTCAAGAAACCTCCATTGAGAGTCTTCCCTGGGCCAAGCTGAGGACTCAGCCCACGGACGCAGGCAGTCTAGGAATGATAGTGGTAATGCTAGTGGCAGAGTGTACTCGTCAGGGTGCTCCAGGGAAACAGAACCAATAGGATATATAAACATATAGACAGCATCGTCTCTTGTTTCCAGCTTACCATCCAAATAGCTTCCTATACAAACAGGAACTAGCTCAAGTGACTAGGGAGGCTGAGAAGTCCCATTGTCAGAAGTCCCGGCTGTCTGCAAACTGGAGACTCAGGAAAGCCAACAGTGTCATTCAATCCAAATCTGAATGCCTGAGAATCAGAGGAAGCTGATGGTGTAAGTCCCAGTGCAAAGGCAGGAGAAGATGAGATGAGAGGTCCCACCATAGCTGTAAGGCAGAAGAGAAGGGACAGATTCCTCTTTCCTCTGCCTTTGTGTTCCATTCAGGACCTTGGCGTATCGGATGATGCCCGCCCATGCTGGGGAGGGCCATCTGCTTTCCTGAGTCCACTAATTCAAATGCTGATCTCCTCTGGAAACAGGCACACCAGAAAGAACATTTCATCTGGGCCGATCAAGTTGGTCCATAAAATTAACCGTCACACAGAGTATTCCCTGTATTTGCCTCTTTGACTTTGTTCTGTTCTTGGCACCAGGATTTTTAATCCCCCATCTCCCCTTGGAAGCTTCCATCTGCACCAGACTGGTCCTCTCAGATGCTTCTTTCTCCCAGAACTCTTGCCAACTTCCACCCTAATGATGCCTCTCTTGTGTTGAGCTTTCTCTGCCCTTCCTCTGCTAGTACTTGGGTAATGTCTTAGCTGCCCATTCTCCTAATTCTTCTGGAGGGGAAAGATCTTCTGATTCAAACCAAACTAATTTGGAGATGACTGTTCATGTACAATAGCAGTTAAGCTGCAGGAGAGTTTGGAGACCACATTTCTAACTTTACATCTTTTCCATCTAGAGCGGGGTACCTGGATGAAGACCAAATGGAAATGCTGTTGGAACGGGCTCAGACAGAAGTCTTTTCAATCAAGCAGAAGCTGGACAATGACTTAAAGCAGGAAAAGAAAAAGCTCCACCAAAAACTAATAATTAAGAGAAGACGAGAGTTGCTGCAAAAGGTATATAAGGCATGATACTATTTATTCTTCCCATAAGCACTTGCTAATACCCATCAAGTGCCAGGTACTATGCCAGCCATTGCCACTGGTGCACTAGGATCAGAAGGGCAGCTGTGCAGGCATCATGATGTGCCATCTAGTGTTGATTGGTAGTGACTTTTTGGAATGCTGTGTTTAGCAGGCGCTGCAGTAGCATCCAGTTCTTCTCCAACCCCAGCATACCAGAGGGTCATGGTAGACTAGTAATGTCTGCATAGGCAAGGGAATAGGAGTGCTGGTTTGAGTGATTAATTATGATGATAGGTGTTAACTTTTATTGAGTGCTTACTTAGCACTGTGCTAAGTGTGTTATATAAGATATCTTGTTTAATCTTTATATTAACTCTATGAGGGAGATACCACTGAGTTGTGTGTTGGGGGGGGTCAGGGTCAAATATCTAGTAAGTGGCATGCATGGCATGCATTTGGAGTCTCTAAGAATATGATGAGGCTGGAGTGTGCAGAGGGACAAGGGTAGGGCCTGGAAGGGAATGCAGTACCAAGTCAGTGGGGGCATGGTGTGCCAGGCTAAGTGGTTACCTTTCATCCAAGGCCAGTAGGGAATGTTAAGGGGTCTTCAGCAGGTGAGAGAGAGAGACCAGACCTGTGATTTAGGAAGCTGAGGTGAGCAGCATGTAAGATGGAGTTGAGGAACCTGGGAACACAAACCCCATGAAGTCTCTGGTACTTGACCAAGTGTGAGCAGATGAGGGCCTAAACTGACACAGAGCCCTGAGTAAGGGGGGTAAGGACAGGTTCAGGGACTGTATGGGACATGCTGGATGACACCCAAGTAGTTGATTGTTACTATTTGCAGGGAGGAGATAAAGAATAACTTTCAAATTTGGTCAGTAGAAACTCTGCTCTTTATTACCAAGTTTGGGACCCAAGTGAAAGCCATGATTCTGACCTTGATCACTGATGCACACCCCATCTTTGAGCATCACACCGTTCATCTCTGAGCCACTGTTTAAGGGATTAAAACAGAGGGTCCAGGCCAGGCACGGTGGCTCACACCTGTAATACCAGCACTTTGGGAGGCCAAGGCGGGTGGATCACGAGGTCAAGAGATCGATCCTGGTCAACATGGTGAAACCTCGTCTCTACTAAAACTACAAAAAATTAGCTGGGCATGGTGGCGCATGCCTGTAATCCCAGCTACTCAGGAGGCTGAGGCAGGAGAATTGCCTGAACCCAGGAGGCGGAGGTTGCGGTGAGCCGAGATCACGCCATTGCACTCCAGCCTGGGGAACAAGAGCGAAACTCTGTCTAAAAAAAAAAAAAAAAAAAAAAACAAAACAGAGGGTCCAGGGCTTCATTTCCCTATGGTCTCGATCCAAGGTCAGTGTCTAGAAAGAAGGATGAACTCCACATCCTATAGGAGATTCTGGCAGTCTTCTGTGAAGGTTATTTCTTGTAGCTACTTTTGATAAACATTATGAGTGGCCCAGAATTAGGATGTAGCTCCACGATTGCATCCCCACTGTTGAGGACACTGTCTGACACCTGGTAGGTGCTCAGTACATATTTGTAGAATGAATGAATTGACACTCTCCGGTCACCAGGACCCATGAACGTGGGTTATGATAGACTAGTAATGTCTGCATGGGCAAAGGAATAGGAGTGCTGGTTTGAGTGACTAATGATAATGGTGGGAACTAACATTTATTGAGTGCTTACTTCGGAAGAGCATCTTATGTTCTTTCAAAGTAGAACCGAGACTATCTGTGAACCCACTGTTATAAAGAACACCATAATGGACAGCTTTATGCAGCTCAATTTTTTCCCACTACAGGGGCCTTTGCTCCTACTGTTCTTTCTCCCAGGAAGGTTCTTTCCCCATTTCTTAAGCTGATTCAGATGAGACCTCCTTCCTTAGGTCTCACTTAGATCTTCTTCCTTAAAAGCTTCACTGACCTCCTCATTTAACTTGTCTCTCAATGATCTTAGCTTTTTGGTTCCCCCTTTATAATATGACACGTTGCAGCTCCCATGTGCCTAGCATATAGTAATAATACTAACAGATATTTACTGGCATAAACTACTCTGTGTCAGGCACTTTTCTAAGAGCTGTGCATGTATTACATAACTCACATAATCCTCACAACTTATTCTGAGAGGGAAGTCCTATCATTACCCTCAGCTTACAGTTGGGAAATGGAGGCACAGAGAGGTTAGTATACCTGCTTTGGGTCACTCAGCTTGTGAATGGTGGAGCCGGAACTGGAACCCAGGCAGTCTGCCATCTGGGCTTTACCTACTCAATAAATACCTGTTCAGTGAATGGTGAATGCATAAGGGTTTCACTGTATTTTTTTTTAAACAATAACTTTCTAGACCTGACATGGTGGCTCACAGCTGTAATCCTAGCACTTTAGAGGCTGAGGTGGGTAGATCACTAGAGGTCAGGAGTTCAAGAGAAGCTCCGCCAACATGGTGAAACCCCATCTCTATAAAAAATACAAAAATTAGCTGGGCATGGTGGTGCACACCTGTAATCCCAGCTACTGGGGAGGCTGAGGCAGGAGAATCGCTTGAACCCAGGAGGCTGAGGTTGCAGTGAGCCAAGGTCACACAACTACACTCCAGGAGGGGTGACAGAGGGAGACCTTGTCTCAAAATAATAAAATAAATTATTATTTTTTAAAATTAGCCTGGTGTGATGACTCACGTGCCTTTAATTGCAACTACTCGGGTGTTTGAGGCACAGAATCGCTTGAACCCAGAAGGCGGAGGTTGCAGTGAGCGGAGATCTCACCACTGCACTCCAGCGTGGGTGACAGAGCAAGATTCCATCTCAAAAAACAAAAACAAAAACACAAAGGAATGACTTTCCAAAGATGAGATTGTTGGGGAAAAGTCTATAAACGTTCTGTGCCTCCCGCAATAAAGTCTTGCAGCCAAAAGGCTGTACCTGCCAAGCCCCGCCCCCACCTAATTTTCTTTTCTGGAACTGGGCCAGCACCGGGAGCAGCGGAGGGAGCAGCTGTCCATCGCCGAGGCCTTCCAGGCGGCCGAGGATGCCGGCCAGTACCTGCGCCAGTGGAGGAGCCTGATGGAGGAGCACGGCGCCGCCCTGGAGGAGCTGCAGGAGCGTCTGGACCAGGCCGCCCTGGACGATCTCAGGGCCCTGACCCTCTCGCTGTTCGAGAAGGCCACCGACGAGCTGCGGCGCCTGCAGAACTCGGCCATGACCCAGGAGCTCCTCAAGCGCAGCGTGCCCTGGCTCTTCCTGCAGCAGATCCTGGAGGAGCACGGCAAGGAGATGGCCGCGCGGGCCGAGCAGCTGGATGGGGAGGAGAGGGACAGGGACCAGGAAGGTGTCCAGGGCGTGAGGCAGAGACTGAAGGACGACGCTCCCGAGGCGGCCACGGAGGAGCAGGTGGAGCTGAGACGCTGGGAGCGCCTGATCTTCATGTGAGTGCCTCCATGGGTCCTCATCACCTCTCCCCACCCCGTGGATGCTGGGGAGATTCCTGCCCTGTGGTTGTGGGGGTGGCCAAGCCTGAGACACCTGGCCCCAGACAGATGATTGACAGCGTTAGTGAGTCACATAAACTCACACCCCGCAGGGAGGACCTCGCATGTCAACGTCGCATGTCACGCAGGACCTATGAGGATTGAGCAGAGGGCAGAACAAGGGCCGTGGGCTTTGTAGTGAGGAGAGGATGGGTGGCCCCTGGCTCCCAGGGGAAAATGTGATTGGCTTGTCCAAATAATTCCCTGAGCTGAATAATTCCAGGGAGCTACTCAGGGATAAATGGGAATGTGCTGGTTTCCTTAATAGAAAGTGTCCTCTGGGGAGGGGACATTATCCACAGAAGCAGAGTGGGAAGGGGAGCGTGCAGTGAGGCCATTCCAGGCCCTGCTGATTTCACCAGGCTCGAGGCTGCACATGATCTTGGCCTTCGTTTTAGTTATTCCACTGCACTGTATCATCTTTTCACCTGGCCCTTTCATCCCTGGTCTATTTCTTGGGCTATGTACCTTTATTATTATTATTACTGTTATTGTTATTATTTTGAGATGGAGCCTCATCCAGTCACCAGGCTGGAGTGCAATGGTGTGATCTCGGCTCACTGCAACCTCCACCCGGTGGGTTCAAGTGATTCTCCTGCCCCAGCCTCCCAAGTAGTTGGGATTACAGGCAAGCGCCACCATGCCCAGCTAATTTTTGTATTTGTAGTAGAGATGGGGTTTCACCATGTTGATCAGGATGATCTCAATCTCTTGACCTCGTGATTCATCCACCTCGGCCTCCCAAAGTGCTGGGATTACGGGTGTGAGCCACCATGCCTGGCCATATCTTTATTATTAATTCAAGAACCATGTAATGACTTCCGCTTCCTAGTGGGATGCAGTGGACCACAGCTAACACTCCTCTTGCAGTAACTAGAAAATCATGGATACATTTATTTTTATCATTTATTTTTTGTAGAGATGGGGTCTCACCCTGTTGCCCAGGCTGGTCTCAAATCTCTGGGCCCAGGCGATCCTCCCACCTCAGCCTCCCAGGATAAATCTCACAAGTAATTTTTTTTTAAGACATGGGAGGGTGGTGGAAACAGTGAAGACAAGTTGGAGTCAGATTCCAGAGGGGCCAGTTCCACAGTCCTCTACTTCCCCGAAACGTCTCCCAGCTCTTTGTGCACGCCGAGATTTGGCTTAGCCCAGGAAGGGAGATAGAGGCCAACAGAACTTTTGGTGGTTGTTTGGGGCTGGCATCAGATTGGAAACTGGAGGGGCCTCAAGCATGGCCAGTGTAGAATGACACATGGGCAGGAGAGGCCAGAAGTCCCAGAATCACCACTTACGTTGGAGCAAGTTGTTCAACCTCTCTGGGCCTCATCTTTCCCGCTTGTAAAATGAAGACCACAAAAACTAAATCAAAGCATTTAAGGTGCTTTTGACAGTACGTGACACTATCAAGTGGTTTGAATGTGAAGACGATGTTTTTGTGAGAGCCTGGGCTCCCCTTGGACCCTCTGATGGGCATGGGACCTGCCTGCAATCTCCTTCCTCCCTTGTAGACGTTGTCTCCTAGCATCCTGCTGGCCTCAATGGTTTAATGCCCTTTCCTTCCCTACACAGTTTTCATCCCTGGGTCCGACCTTGCCACCAGGAAAATAGGTCCCCAGGTGTTTGCAAAGAGTGATATTATCTTGGTTTGCATTAAGTGACCTCTGGCCCTTCCCATCTCTCTCTTTTGTGATTCTGACCTCATTTATTTTTTAAATCTTTGTTAGGTTTTGCTTTCTTGACAAGGAAAACAAGATGCTGTCTTCTCTTAGTCCATGCAAATCAGCTCCTTAAGTGCCATTTCTTATTCCCATGAATTGCCCTCTACAGGATTTATTCAGCCTAGTCTACATTCCAGGAAATTCTCTTTTCATGTTCAAACCGGCTTTGGACTCTTCGTAGCAAGTGAATTCGCTTTGGCATTTCTATTACCAACTGGTCATTTTCTTCAGCTTCATTTGGATTCATTTTGCAGGGAGTATTACCAAAGCCACTGCTGATTTAGCCATTTAATGGGGGAAAAGAGAACTCTCACTTGGCTGTCAGAAACGTCTATGATTTTTCCAAGGGTTAAAGAGGATCAACTCAATGCACACAATGTGAGTCTGCTTATATACTTTGTTTATTTAAGATTCTAAAAGGTTGCAGCCTTTGTTTCCAAGGCATTATGCAGAAATGGCTTTGCACAATAGACCTGAAGCACATTTTTAGCAGCTTTCTGATTTCAGCCAAGATGGGGTTGCTGTGAAACTGGCTGGCTAAAGTAGGAATTAGTGAGGAATATCTTTGCTAGAGAAAGTGTATCTTTGAGCCTTCTTTCCTAAGTTCTTGTCTTGATTTTAAACTCCTTTGGGGCAAAGGTCTCGCCTCTTGTATTTCTGTGTTCTCTTGGCACCTACGTAACAGAGGATCAAGACGAGACTGCTGAGGGCCGATCTGGTTTGAAGGTGGCAGGAGTAATGACAGAGTCATCTCAGAGCTGCTTTCACTTTGGGTTCCACGTAACCAGCAAACAGCGGGGCAAAGGCTTTGCACTAGGGAAGTTACAAGGGAGCTGTTGCAGTTTCCAGAGATTGCTTTAAAAATCACTGGGCCCCATGAAGTGAGGAACCCAAGATGGGTGTCACATGACACGGGGTCAGGCCTTCAGACTATTTTCAGCAGGGAGCCCGCATGGTCTCTGAAGGTCTCATTCCCTTTCCCCAAGAGTCCTTTCTAGCTGAGCCACAGCCCCACATTCCCACATTGAGATCTGGGTATGGTAAGCCTGACTCTGGCCAACCACCTTGGGTGTTCTACAGATAATTCTAAATTTTAAAGCATCTGTCAATGTTGGATGTATTGACAGAACATCCAAACAAAGCTACAGAGAATCTCTGTTCAGTGAGTAATTCTGTCCAGACTTTCTGAGCAGATTTTCTTTTACATTTCATGGGTCAGAACCAGCCCCCTTGAGGCTGAGAAAGCAATTGTGTAGCCTTTGTCTCCTTTAGGGCTGTTGGCCTCACTAGAAAGGAAGAGGGACTCTTTATCCATTTTTTTTTTTTTTTTTTTTGGTCTGGAATTTGGTGTAAGGAGCAGTAGTGATGTAGGTCAATGCATTTGTTTCTTAGCACTACCATAACAAAGTACCACAAACTGGGTGACTTAAAAAAATAGAAATATATTCTCCCACCGTTCCGAAGCGTGGAAGTCCAAGATCAAGGCATTGGTAGGACTGTGCTCGCTCTGAAGGCACCAGGGGACAATCTGTTCCATGTATTTTCTTAGCTGCTGGTGTTGGCGGCAATCCTTGGCATTCATTGGTTGGTAGACGTCTCGCCCCAATCTCTTCCTCTGCATCAGATGCCTTCCCTGTGTGTTTGTCTTGTTTCTTATAAGGACACCAGTCGCACTGCATGAAGGGCCCACTGTGTCCCAGTATAGCCTCATCTTAGCTTCTTAATTACGTCTGCAAAACCCCGTTTCCAAATACACTGACATTCACAGGTCCCAGGTTAGGACTTGAATGTATCTTTTTGGGAGCCACAATTCAACCCATAACACGAAGTCCCTCAGCATGGTTCCCAGCATGGAATCGGTTTTCACTGAATGATAGCTGTCAATCATCAACCTTCAGAACCAAGCACAAGGGACTCCCATTTCCCTGACCTCCTTGAGCTCAGCATTGTGTCTCTCCTCTGTCTATTGGTTCTACATAGAGAATGCTCCTGACCAGGCCGCAGACAACACTTTGTTTTCATGTCTGTTTGTGAAGTGAGACCAGGTTATTTGCAAGGTCATGGGCACTGGAAGGCCTACTTCCTCCTCAAAGACACCCCGATAGCCTTGCCTTGCTCATTTCTCATTCTTAGCTCCAATACGATGTCCTACGCAGCATAGCATGCATTAGGTAGTTAAGGAACGCCCGTGGCAGGAATGCACGATTAAAGAGCCAATGCTTTTTCTCCAGATGTGGATTTGAGGAATGAGCTTTGCATCTCTGGCTTCGCCACCCCAGCCCAGCCCCCAGGCTTTCTCTGTGTAAGAGCGAATCTCTGTTCTTCCTTCCAGGAAGCTCTGCTCCTCAGTCTTCTCCCTGTCTGAAGAGGAGCTGCTCAGGATGAGACAGGAGGTCCATGGCTGCTTTGCTCAGATGGACAGGAGCTTGGCCCTCCCCAAAATCCGGGCCCGAGTTCTGCTGCAGCGATTTCAGACTGCGTGGCGAGAAGCAGAGTTCCTGAAGCTGGACCAGGCCCTAGCGGCCCCCGAGCTGCAGGTAGGTTGGACGTGTCAGTTGCCTCTTGATTACAGAAGCAGGGCTGTCTCCCAGCTGCTGACCCTACAGGGTCTGGCCTCCACCACCCTGAGCCCATCTCACCTCACGCTCCCCTATCCTCTCCTCTCTGGCTGTGTTAGTGTCCAGCTGTTCCAGGAATCTCCAGGGCTGTCCCAACTTTAAAGTTTATAGTGGACACCACTGGTGCTGTGCCCCAATCCTGACGCCTGGGCTGTTGCGCCATCCACCAGCAGCCATAAACCCTAGTCTCACCCAGCCACAACCTTCTCCTGATGGAAGCTGCCTTGCATGAGATATTACTTGGTCTCTCCTGACCCCTCCTCCAGCCACAGCTAATGACTGACTTTGGGTACAAAAGGCCTTTCTGTATGGCATAGAGGAGGGATGCTCAACTCAGCTCAGGTGGGTCAGGGAAAGAGGGGCTCTTGCACAGGGCCTTAAAGGATGATGACTGGCAGCTGCCTTTTAGTGAGCAGCTACTATGTGCCTGAGGGCAGACAACTCTTTAGTGTAGTTTTTGCTCCAGAGCCCCCAGGGACCAGTTTAGGCTCGACTTTACCTGAGACCACAGCCTTGCTTGGCTCTCCCCTTTCCTGTCCTGTTCCCTTGTTCCCCGACAGGTTGATCCTAAAGAGACCTCCTTCAGGAAACTGTGTACACGTAATCCCTGCCTCAGGCTCTGTTTCTGGGGATCCCAACATAAGATGTGGCCTTCGAACTTCTGTTTTCTCTGCCACATACATGCTTTGTAGTCCATTGAGGTCTCAGCTCAAATGCCACCTCCACCAAGAAGCCTTCCTTGGGCACCTGCCTAAAATCACCCTCTCCCTAGGCATTCTTTATCACATGCTGGTTTCATGATTTTATTTATCATTATCTGAAATGTGCTGGTTCCTTGATTTCCCCATGGTCTGGGCTTCCACTAAAAATAAGCTCCCCGGCCCATTCACCACTCAAGAGTACCAAGTGCATAGTAGGTGTGCAGTAAATTTTGTTGGCTTAAACATCCCACTAGCCAAGCACCAGATGTATGCTAAACACTGGGGCTTCTCTTATGATAATAATATGTTGAGGCTGAAAACATTAACATCACTGAAGCTTACCTGGTCTCACCTGAAGTTCACAGCAGTGCTAAGAAGTCAGTATGATATCCCATTTTACAGATGAGAAAACAGCTGCAGAGGAGAAGTGAGTGGCCCTATTGGAAGGAGTGAACGGGGCTGGGAGCTGGTGTTTCCTGACTTTAAACTCACTTCTTTTCCTTTAGAGAAATAAAAAAAACTCAGACATATTCTTTCTGAATATAAACCAGTGCATGCAGAAACAACTTGGAAGCTCTTATATTCTTTTAAATTTTCTTATGTCCTTTTTTTTCCCTGTTTCTTTCTTACAAGGATATGGGAGATACAGCATGTGTGGTGGTTCAAGAGTAAGGGATACATGATCAAAAATTCAAATATTTTGGAGCAATAGGGGAAAATAATTTCGACATCACCGAAATGAGGGGAGGGAGTCCATGACCCACTGCTTCCCCTGCTTTGAAGCTGGTGAGTCCCAGTGGAAATGAGGTTTCTGCCTTCAAAGCCGCCCAGGGTGCTTGGTTTTCAGATGGAAATGGCTTTGGCCACTGCCTCAGAGGGGCAGACGTCATCTTCCCTGTCATGAAGGCGCTAGCTCCACGTGGGCCAGCAGGGCCAGGCTTTGCACAGATGGAGCGGCAGCTCCCTTCTCTTGCTCAGTCCCCAGATAGCAGCAGAGAAGGTGGCAGGAGAGCCTACTCCCGGTTTCCTGAGCACCAAGGCCTGGGGGAAAATAGTTGTTTTAGTCTTCATGTTTTCATCTATAAAATGGGTGGAATGAGGGCGTATGGGGACAGGTGGAGCAATGGCAGTGTCAGCGGGTGCTTAGTGCATTCCGCATCCCTTGGCTGTCCTCACCCTCCTGTCACGTCATCACCAGGGAACCCCCACGTTTCTTCCCTGCATACTTCTCTTTGATCTAGACCCATAAAACAGATAATGTCTACTGTTCAACCTCATCTGCCGGTGGTCCCCAGTGCTCCCAGACCATTCACAGATGTGAGTTTCTAAGGCACTTGCAAACTCTAAAGAGATGTGCAGGTCAGACTCACCACCCTCTTCCTTCAGCACTTTCTGTGGCTCTCTGGGCTGGGACACAAGTTCCAGCATGACCTCAAGGCTCCCTGTGGCCTGGCCCCTGACCAGACCCGTGCTGGGAGAGCCCTCAGGGGAGAGGGAAGGTGGGGAGGGGAATCCTGACTTGTAGCATCTGCCCATTTCCCTAGTGTAAAACCTCCTGTCGAGGCCAGTTTCAGGTTTGACATCACTGCCTGGGAGTTGCAGGCTGGGCTCCCTGCCCAGCCCTCTTTAGGGCTATTTCCTTCCAGCCCCAGTCTATACCCCGGGCTCCGGGTCCTGCCTGCCAGCCTGACTTGCCTCCTCGTATCCTTAGTTAGTTTTCATCTTTTCAGATTGTTTTCTCCACTGTCATGGAAGCATTGCAAGAACAAGGACCTCGCTCGTTGCATCCCCTTCCCAGAGAGGCTGACGGCTCTGAGGTCCCACAGCTAGTTAGGAGGTGGACATGGGTTGGGTCCGCTGTGTGACTCCAGAGCTGAGGTTCTGCCCACCAGACTCCCTCTCCTCCCTTTGGTGGAAAGAGCCCACCAGAGTGTGTGAAGACCAAAGGCTCTGAAACTGAGCTCCTTCCAGAAAAACATACCTCTCTCCTCCCCTCTGGCATAAGGCAGAGTTTTTCAGTTCTGGGAGCTGCAGAAACTTCTCTTGGGCTGTGAAGCCCGGCGTGGGCTGCATGGACTTGCTGGGGATCACCTTCTTACCAGTGTCTTCCCCGACCCCTCTCCAGCCGCAGTCCAAGGCGAGAAAGTCGCGATCCAAGAGTAAAAGCAAGGGAGAGCTTCTGAAGAAGTGCATCGAAGATAAAATCCACCTCTGTGAGGAACAGGCCGCTGAAGACCTGGCTGAAAAGGTCAGACTTCTGCTTCACCCGCCGTTTCCCTCTGCACATGGCGGGGCTCATAGCTGACACATTTGCAGGCACACAGAGCCCCTGGGGGCTGTGCTATCCCTTTCCACCCAACCACTCATTCGCTCAGGTGCGATGGTAAGAAAGAGTGGGAAGACCCTCCCCCTGGGCCCCGCCCCAGTGCCTTCTGCCTGGAACCCTCTCCCTCTACTTCTCAGCCTGGGGATCTCACAGTATCTTTCAGGCTTCAGCTCGGGTGCTGCCTCTATTGGCTGAGCACTTGCTATATTTGTGCCTGGCTCTGTCCTGGGGCGTATGCATCTGCCGTTTCACCTCCATCACACTCCGTATCTCTCACACTCTCCTCCATGCTCCCACAAGCTGACTGGGCTCTTCCCTCCAGCCCTGTTTTTTTGTTTGTTTTCTTTTGAGATGGAGTCTCGCTCTGTCACCCAGGTTGGAGTGCAGTGGTGTGATCTCGGCTCATTGAAATCTCCACCTCCCAGGTTCTCCTGCCTCAGCCTTCCGAGTAGCTGGGATTACAGGTGCCTGCCATCACGCCCAGCTAATTTTTGCATTTTTAGTAGAGATGGGGTTTCATGATGTTGGCCAGGTTGGTCTCCAAACTCCCCAGCACCCTGCAATGGGTGGATTCCCAAGAGGAGTATGTTCCGTGAATTATGCATGAAGCCATGCTTTAGAGCTGCTGGTTTGTTCTTACCTTCCATCTATCTCCTTTTTCTAGTTTCTTTTGCTTTTTTTTTTTATTTTAGTGCTGGTGTATTTCTCAGAACACAAATGCATGATCTCATAGAAACTGCTCTGGGCACAGTCAGTGTCTCCTATCAAGTGTGTCCAGGTTGTTGATGTTTTAAGGGACCCGGAAAGTGGCAACCGTATTCCCACCCAGCTTCTATAGGAAATTGAACAGTAAGACAAAGATTAGGCAGATAGAGGCACAATGTCATCTTCCCTATTGGTAAAGGCTAATTCAAGAGATATACATCAATGTGAGAGCTCCTAAACTACCTGAGAATTAAACAGACTCCATAACCCAATCACAGTATCACTAGGAGGTTCCTGGGGAGGGGGGCACAGCCTACACCTGGGGAAGCAGAAATCGGGGTCCCAGAGAGAAGCAAGAGAGGGAAGCCAAGCTGTCCCAGTTTATTCCCAGCTTACAGCCAGAAGAGGAGAGAGCTGGAGAGAGGGCAGGTGTTGTGCACATTGAGCTCCCGGCACAGGGAGCAGATCGCCACACTTGGGGGTGGAGGGGGCCTTTCCCCCAGGACCAGCTGCTTTGTGATCCTCTGTTAGAGGCGAAACCCACCAGAGTGAAGGTGGCTGTTGTCGGAGAAGAGCTGCTCGTGAAGGGAAAGCTGGGGTTTGGTTTGGCAGAGGGAATGTGTATCCAGGACCGTGCCGGAGGCCACGGTGCACAGAGGGAGCCCAGAGGGTTGAAGCCCTGTGACAAGGCTGCTTTTCTGGAGTGCGGGGTCCTGGCCAGGGAAGGGGAAGCAGCCCCGTGGAGGAACCTGCTCAAAGGCCAGGCTGAGAAAGATGGGTGCCATGTCAACAACACCCTTGCAGCAGAGTCACAGGATGAATGTCTGGGGGAGAAGGTGATGCAGAGGTGGTGACCCATGGGGACATCAGGTGCAGACAGCACCACTCCCACCCAGCGGCTCAAGGCTGGACCTCAGCATCCTCCATAACCCTTCCCTGGCCCCTACCTCATCTCCTCCTGCTCTGTCTCATGCTTATGTCTAATCCATCTCCTCCTGCTCCCGGCCTTGCCAAGCACCCTTTCTGCCGAGTTGCACGCAGTGGGCTCCCTACTGTTTCCTGTTTGTTTCCTCTTCCTTCCAGTTGATTTTCCTGCAGCAGCGAGCGTCCTCTTCCTAAAGCCCAGCTCCGATCCCTTACGGATCCCAAACCAGCAGATCCATCTCCTTTTTTGCCCAAATTAGTCATTTTAATAGAAGGAACTCAGCACATTCCTTCCTGTAGTTTTTTTCTTTTTCTTTTTTTTAAAAACCAATCAACCTGAAATAATTGAAAGACTCTGCACCCAGTTTTTGAGAGTTTATCCAAGAGACAACCTGGGAATTGCCATCTGGGAAACAGACTGCAGAGAAATGGGGTCAGCACTCTAAAGCTAAAAGTTAAGGTCTTCATTATATAGGAATAAAATAAAAAGATTTAACAGGATTACACCATTTTCTCTACAAGTCTGGCTTTAAGTTACAACAGTTTAATTAGTTACAGTTTGTTTTCTTTTCTGTATGGCTTGTTTTCATTTCCTTTCCAATTTAGAAGAGTATATTTAACATTCCATCTTGGCAAATATCATACCCATGAAGTCTGTGTGAGAGGGAAGAGGGAAGTGAATCTGTAAGGAAGATCAACAGTGCAGAGGAAAGGGGTCTTTTCTGGCACCCTTTAGTCATTTACGGCATTTTACAAAACAACATAGGCTGGGAAGAAGGCTAACCTGTAATCAGGGAAACAAGAGTTCAGCTGCGTAGGTTACAGCTGCCTGTCATGTGACGCAGGCCCTGTAATCATGTTCCTTTAAGGCACCCAATAGTACAAAGTTTCAGCAACTTAGGTATCAGATTACTTATTTTCACAACCGTTTACATTTTCTCTTGGTGGCAAGTATAAAATATTGTTTTCTTTGCCTTTTAATTTTTTTCTCTTTGTTTTTGCTCTGTTCAGGATTTTTGTTTTATTTCGAAATTTGTAATGCTTCATATCTTTCATCACCCCGTTTCTTTCTTAGTTTCTTTCCATTACTTTTTGGTTTTTAATTCCAATACTCACCCTCTGTGCAGCGTCTCCTAGTTTACACTGGCATCCTGGTTCCATGTAATTGGCTGGAGATACTAGTTATCACTTCATTCATAGCATGAACAAGGATCCAAGGCAGGTGGGGAAGAGACATCTGAGGATGTCCGTGGTGCAGAGGATACACACAATGACAGCCTGCCTTGGGAATCCTTGTGTACTGGGTCATCCCAGTACTGGGTCATGCCTTATCCAGTTGATGCATGAGGGGCAGCATCACCAACGGGCTGTATAACTTGTTCAGGACCATCCAACTCATAGGTGTGACCTTTACAACTCAAAGCCATGTCTATTTGGATAGGAAGCATGGGTCTTTCCAGCTTGCCCATCTTACCTGCCACACAGTCATAGACACCTAGGGAAGTTCCACAAAAGGCATTTGGCAAAAAAAAAAAAAAAAAAAAAAAGAAAAGAAAAATAAAAGAAAAGAAAGAAGGAGCAATTCATAACAACGACCAAGAAGAACAGGGTGCAAGAGTAAAGATCGCTGAACCAGCTAGGTGAGCTCAGCAGGTGAGCAGAGGTATTCACGGGACCGGGATGGGGAGGCGAAGGGCGCTAGAGGTCTGTGTTTCCCGGAGGCTGTTTCGGCACCCTTCCCTGCCCTGAGCTCACCTCTGCTGGTTACATTTGGGGCAGACATTTGTTCTACATCCCAGCCCACACACACAAGCCAGACCTTTCACCTGGCCCTGGGCTGAAGACACAGCCATCTGCTCCAGCAGTGGAGGAAGGACTGGCTGGTTCTTGCTCCCTAAGGTGTTTCCCAGGGTGATTTAGATTTCACTTTTGTCTTATGCACTGATTAGAGAACTTAAAAAGTGATGGCATTGAATAAGAATGGTGCCTGCTTCCTTCGTTTGTGTTTTAGTGCCAGGCACCTTGCTAGACACTATATGTGTGTGTATGTGTATGTATTAATATATGCATAAGAGAGAGGTATAAGTACGTATGGATGTGTACATATGAGCCATCCATACGTGAGTTCTACGTACGAGTACCTTATGTACACTCATAATCCCCGTATATGCTGGTGAGGTGCACTGAGAGCTCAGTGCTTTCCATCTATCCACTCTAATCTTCACACAGCCCCTAAGAGAAGTGCCACTGTCATTAGTCTGTGAGAGATAAGGACTTGGAGGCACAGGGAGGTGAAGTGACTCCAGGGTCACAACTGGTCTTCAGACCCTGCATTCTTGCTGCATTACTGACCCATGCCTTGTTCATGACATCCTTTACCCTTCCCAATTTCCACAACAAGTAAGAACCATCAACGTCCCTGTTTTATGGATGTGGAAACTGAGTCTCTGAGAGGTTAGTGACTTTGCCCAGGATCCTGTAGCCAGGCAGTGGCAGATGCAGCACAGGAAGCAGAAGCTCTCTGTGCTCTGTCGCTGTCACACCATCTCCTGACCACATGCCCTGATCAGGACCGTCAAAGAATGTTTTCCCCAAACAATTGCAGTTATTTCCCACAGTTTCGCAATGCAGGGTGAGCGCGCCTTGGCTCCTGCCTCTGTGAAATGCGACTTGTGGCAACGGTAGCCCCCTAGTCACAGGGCATTTGCAGGGTGCCTTTCAGCTTTGGAGCAGGCTGCAGCACTTGTCTTCTTTCCTGCTAATGGAGCAGCTCCACGTGCTACGTGATCCAGGCCTCACAAAGAAAGGCAGACACGAGGCATTTGTCATCTGTGACCTTTCTGTGACAGTCCATCTTCACAGTCGGCCATTTCATTGTGGCAGGTGCCAAGAGAATAGGCACTCTTGAGTTGACAGCTTTGACATTCCTCCTGAAGTTGATCGATTATGTCTCCTAGCACTTGCATGGCAGTTGTTCAGATGTTTTATTTGCAGTGGGAAAAATGACAGCTCTCATTCTGTGAATGCTCGCAACTAAGAGTTGCTTGACGGTTGTATTGATCATTGTTTTCCAGAGAAACAGAACCCATAGGAGATAGATAGATAGATAGATAGATAGATAGACAGACAGACAGGGAGCGGGGGAGGGAGGGTGGAGATTTATTCAGATTTATTTGGGGAATTTGATCATGCAATTATGGAGGCTGAGAAGGTCCGTTGTGTGCCATCTGGAGGGTATAGAACCCGCAGACCTGGTGGTATGATTCAGTTTCAAGGCCTGAGAACTGGGGGAG